CCCGACAAGATGCGGCCAAAACGACGCCTTCTATCGGCGGCGGATTTCTGTTTGAGCCCCGAGCGCAACAGGGATGAACGGAGCTTAGTCCAAACCGACCGACAACAGCGAATGAAATGGTTGACCGAGGGAACCTCGGAATCACTCTCAGTCTCAGGAAACAGTGGAGGTTGGTAACCCACCTGAGCTTCAAACGGGGAAAAGCCCGTGTAGGAATTACTCAGTGAGTTATGGGCATACTCGGCCCATGCTAAACATCGAAGAGTGTTTTCCAATGACTGATTAGTATGCTCAGTCTGCCTGTTAGTCTCTGGGTGGAAACCAGAGGAGAGACTCACAGTGGCCCCCAACTGCCTACAAAACGCCAGCCAGAACCAGGCTGTAAACTGAGGACTCTGGTCAGAGACAACATCTTGCAGAAGCCCATGCAGCCAGAAAACATGGTTAAGCACAAGAAAGGCCATCTCCTGCGCTGAAGGCAGCTTGGGTAGCACGACAAAATGAGCGGCCTTAGAAAAACGGTCAACCACGAGCAGGATGACCATGTTGCCTTCAGACACAGGCAGTCCCGTAATAAAATCCAACGCAATGTGCGTCCAAGGGCGCCTGGGGATGGGCAATGGTCGCAGCAGACCAGAGGGAGGGAGATGGGAAGTTTTGTTTCTGGAGCAGATGCCATAGGCAGCAACAAATTCCCGAATGTCCCTCATCATACCGGGCCACCAAAAACGTTGGGCCAGGAACTGCTTGGTCCGATGGGCTCCCGGGTGCCCCGCCAAGCGGGAAGAGTGTCCCCGCTGGATAACCTGTGACCTAACCCTAGACAAGACAAACAAACAGACAGGAGACTCCCCCCAGGACCAGGATCTGTCTTCAAAGCCTCCTGAACCACTGCCTCAATCTCCCATTGAATGGGCGCCACAATTTGAGCAGCCGGAATAACTGGCTCCGGGTTGGGATCGCGATCAGAGCGGTCGAAAATCAGTGACAAGGCATCAGGCTTAATGTTTTTAGAGCCAGGGTGGTAGGTTAGTGTAAAATTAAAGCGGTTAAAGAACAACGACCACCGTGCCTGCTGGGAATTACGTCGCTTGGTTTGCTGAATATACTGGAGATTTTCATAGTCTGTCCATACCACAAAAGGGTGTTCAGCTCCCTCCAACCAGTGGCGCCACTCTTCAAGCGCCAACTTGACCGCCAATAACTCCCGGTCACCAATGCTGTAATTCCGTTCCGCGGCGGACAAAGACCGGGAGAAATATGCGCATGGGTGTAGCTTATTGTCCCAAAGGGTGCCCTGGGACAAAATAGCACCCACCCCAACCTCAGAAGCATCCACTTCCACCACAAATGGGAGGGAAGGATCGGGCAAAACCAGAATGGGCTCTGAGCTTAAACGTTTCTTTAATTCCTGAAAGGCAGCCTCAGCTGCTGGAGACCAAAAAAAACGCTGAGGAGGTATTCTTTCTGGTGAGCGCAATAATGGGAGCAGCAACCGCGCTAAAATTATGGATAAACCTCCTATGAAAATTAGCAAAGCCCAGGAAGTTTTGGACCTCCTTAACAGTTTGAGGGGCAGACTAATTCCTGACCGCAGCCACCTTGTCCGGGTCCATATGGACCGACCCCTTGGAAACAATGAAGCTAAGTAACGAGACGGTTTGGGCGTGAAAGGTGCATTTCTCAGCCTTGACAAAAAGTTTGGCTTTAAGGAGGGCCTCAAGCACTTGTCTGACGTGTTGTTTATGCTCCAAGAGAGTTGAAGAAAAAATCAGAATATCGTCAAGGTAGACAAGGATGAATTTCTCCAACATCTCTCGGAGAACGTCATTGACGAGTGCCTGGAATACAGAGGGGGCGTTAAACAATCTGAACGGCATGACCAAATATTCGTACTACCCGTCATGCGTATTAAATGCCGTCTTCCACTCGTCCCCCTCCCAGATCCGGACCAGATTATAAGCATTGCGGAGGTCCTAATTAGTCAAAAAACGACGCCTCCTGCAGACGTTCAAAGGCAGAGTGCATCAGCGGAAGGGGATAACGGTTCTTGACGGTGATATTATTGAGACCCCTGTAATCAATACAGGGTCTCAAACCGTCATCTTTTTTGCCCACGAAAAAAAACCCCGCACCCGCAGGAGAGGTAGACAGCCGAATAAATCCATTAGCTAGACCCTCCTGTAATCACACGCGCGGTGCGGAGGTAAAGTCGAGGCCCTTTGCTTGCTAAAAACCTCCGTGAGGTCAGCATAATCATTGGAAACATTAGACGGCAAACCAAAGTTCAGGGTGGCCCCCAAATCCTCACCCTGTTCAGAACCTGACGTCTCAGTGACTGATTCAGAATCAAAAAAATCCTCTAAAAGGTAATCGTCCTCTGGCTGTCGCCAATCAAATTGAGGATCCCATTCCAACCCCTCCTCTGTCCCTTTTTCTAGTTTAGGAGGGTAAGGTGAGACAACCTCCTCACACTCGCTCCAGGCATCAGTCTGCCCCATAGCTTGATGTCCAGGAAAACAAGTCACATTCTCCCTACAATGGGACCTACAGTTGGTACCCCAGTGGACGATAGGATTATTCTGTTCTCCCCAAGTGATGCAAGACCTATGCTCCCGTAGCCAAGAATGCCCTAAAACAATGGGAAGAGCAGGGGAACTGATAATAAAAAACCGAACCTCCTCAGAATGACCACCAAAAGAAATGAACATATTTAGCGGTTCAGAAACTTCGGTTATAAATCCCGTTCCCAGCGGGTGACCGTCCAAAGTTATAACAGAACCTAATCCGAACCCTAACCGTAAACGTCTGTTGAATAAGGACGCCAAGAACCTCTCCTATTATTGTATATCGACGCTCGGTCACATAACGTCACTTGATGATGAGTCGAGATGATTTTCGGCGAAAATGTATGCGAAAATGACAAGAGTTTAATACAAACAGGGTAATAATAACTGAAGGCAAGCTCCAAACTCCGAAGCTACTCAATCAACAAAGAAGGTAAATTCAATTTGGAATGTTATCATCAATTACAGTACCTTAACTACACTTATTTCTTGTATATACCAAGGTGATTGGCCTTGTACAGAAAACAGAATTGCTAATTATTTGGGTAAACTGACTTTCTAAATATATCTGTGAACATGATCAAAGGGCTCATGAGTGTGATGGGACTGACCTTAGTCAAGATTGAAAAATGCCGTATGAAACTGACATTTTCCAGCCCTGCCAGTAAAAGGGATTTTTTTTTTTTTTGTTTGTTGTTTTTTTTTAGTACTAGGTGTTTTTATGGTTTGAAAATGCACTAGATTGCTTTAAAAGCTATCCCAATTTAAAAAAAAATGTTCTGGGGGGCATGTAGTTATACATAGTATAACTACATTTGCCCTGATGAACGAGAGTTGTACTTGTGGTCATAGGCAAACTTTCAGGTTGGTTCGCACTCTGGCGTCGTTAGATAAAATCATCCAAAAAAAAAAAAAATACTTGGTGAAATAAATACCTTACCTATTTTTCTTGATTCTGGTATTTTTTAAGCACATGATAAAGTGTTGACACTGAGAAATATGTCTTTTAAAATGGCAATGGATGACTGTTACTTTGACTCTGCCTGGGTAATGTCGATTGACTGCTGAAAACAAGGTAATCTAAGCTAATACAGCAATGACAGAGCAGTGAAATGGTATAACTAGACAGGTATAAGGATATTTAGAATGGGAAATAAATTGTTTTGCACCATGCTATGTTAATTTCAACTGTAAACATAAGCCTCAAAGTTTGCCTATAGACTCAAGCCCAACTCAAGTGAGGGAAGCGAAGAGAGCCGGGCCACATCTGGCAAGGGGGCATGCCCAGAATCCCCTATTACCAGAAATAACTTAGGGATTTGTGCTGCAGGTATGTTTTCCTCTTTTTTCCCCCCTAACCCTGTTGATTATTTTGGGCTTTAGGTTACCAAAATGAGTTGCATATGAAGGTACATATAAATTAAGGCAAATCACAAGTCATGTGCTCTGGCCTACGATGTAGTATATATTGCAAGCTTTGGAGACTCGATCCTTTCGCTTATAAAAGCAGCCTGTATGAATCAAGTCTGCTGCATAGATCTTGCAACTTGGAACATTTTACCCCCTTATTTTCAAATAAAATTGCTCATGTTTTTCTGTTTCTGTTTGAGTAAATAAAAGACCAGTTTCCAACCTTGAACAATATGGCAGACTCAAAGCTATTCCACCTCAAAGAAGCCAGTTTGTGTCTTTATTGTCTCTCAATCAGAAAAATAAATACAACCTTGACCGAACGATACTCTGACTTTTCTGCTTAATTTCTGTATAAGCGAGGTATGCTGTTGAGTCATTTTGTAAAGTATGCAAGAGGTACAACCCCAATTCCAAAAATGTTGGGATACTGTGTAAAATATAAATAAAAAAACAGAATGCAATGATTTGCAAATCTCATAAACTGACATCTTATGCACAATAGAACATAAGCAACATATCGAATGTTGAAAGTGAGACATTTTACCATTTCATGAAAAAAAATAGCTCATTTTTTATTTGATGGCAACAACACATCTCAAAAAAAGTTGGGAAAGGGCCATGTTTTTTTTTTTTTTTAAATTTGGCATCTCCAATCCCACCCAAATCTGGAATGTCCAACTGGGGAACTATGTACAAGGCTTTTCGCATATGCGGCCCCCTATTGCGAACTGAGGAGAGTGAGACAGCTTGTGGCTCTCCTCCGAAGCATGCGCTCGTCGCCACTGCTCATACACTCATTGGTCGAAACCTCGCAAGCTCAGAACGAGGGCGGAGGATATCCAAACATGAACGAGTCCAGAATCTTCCTAACGAGCGCCCGTCTGGCCAACAGGAGGCGCCTGAGAACTTATTATTTACAATACCCTATCCCGGCAGGCCCTTCCCAATTTGCATCCCTGTAGCCAATTGCCATTGGCCAATTGCGCGCTACTCTGAAAAGAGCAGCCAACCACTGCCGGCTGGTCTGAGGCGGGAATCGAACTCGCGCCGTGAGAGTCACTTCTGCTTTGCAACGCAATACTTTACCGAGTGAGCTATCCGGCTGCTTGGGAAAGGGCTATGTTGACCATTGTTTATTGTTCCCTCTTCTTTTCACGACAGTCTGTAAACGTCTGGGAAGTGAGGAGACTAACTGCTACGAGTTTTGGGAGAGGAATGTTGTCCCACTCTTGTCAGATGTTGGATTCTAGCAGGTCTACAGTCCTCGGTCTTCTTTGTCAGATTTTTCATTTTATGATGCGCCAAATGTTTTCTGTTAGTGAATAGTCTGGAATGCAGGTAGGCCAGTTCAGCACTCAGACTCTTCTACTGTGAAGCCATGAAGTTGTAATGGATGCAGTATGTGGTTTGGCATTGTTTTGCTGTATGCTGGGGCTTCCCTGAAAGAGACGGTGTCTGAATGGGACATGTTGTTGTAAAACCTCTATATACTTTTCAGCATTGATGATGCCTTTCTAGATGTATAAGCTCCCCATGCCATAGGCACTAATGCAATGCTTTTGAAGTGCTCGCTGTTAACAAGCTGGATGGTCCCTCTCCTTTAGACCGCACAACACGGTGTCCGTGGTTTCCAAAAAGAATTTCAAATTTTGATTCATCTGATTTGTAAATGTTGCTTTTGTCTCCTGAATTCCTGCATGCTCCTTAAAGGCTGGGGTGACAGGTTGTGTTATTTGTACTCTGCAGAAATGGCTGCTAAAGATGGAGGTTTTTAATTATATGTAAAATCTGAATTTAAAAACAATTGTTTCTGTTGGTAATTGAAATTAAATTTCAAAATTCTGCCTTTGCATATTTTGAGATGAGAAAGTATTGATTTTTTTAAATACATAAACATTGCAAGGTTATAGCAAACTTTTAGATGGCACGGCACATTTAATGATGCATGATTTATTTGTGATGACAATATGAATTGCAATAAATAGTTGCACTTTCTGATCACATGAATGGGTGCAGACTTTTACTGAGTCAACGCTGCAGTAAATGTCTTTGAATTCAAATCGAGTTTGCTGGCAATGAAATGTATGCAGTTTAACAATACATATAAAGATTGTGTATCAATAGTTCTACTTCTTGAGCTTGTATCCAGCCTTGTTCTTAGTAATGTACGGAAAATGACAGAGAATAACAACAGCAGAAACCAAAATAATCACACCTCTTTATCTGCCCAAGCGAATGTCCTTGTGCTGGCAGAGCAGGAGTTGTTTGAAGGTCTTCTTGAAGGTGACATTGCAGAGAGCATAGCAGGCTGGATTAACAGTGCTGTTGATGTAGCAGAGCCAGTAGCTTAAGGTCCATATGCTGGGGGGAATGCAGGTTGAACAGAAGGTGCTGATGACCTTCATGATTTGAAAGGGTGTCCACGCAACCACAAAGGCAACAAGAATGGCCATTATTGTGCGTGTAACCCTTTTCTCGCGTGATGGCAATTCCTTTTTTGCGGGTAACTGCTTTGCCATTGTATCATTTAGGCTGCGCGCTCGTAACCTGCAGGAGCCTCAGCAACTTCATTTCTCTCGTGATGTACCGGTACTCTCGCCTCTTCCTCCCTGACTCCACCTGTTCCACCATTCTGGCTCCACTCAGCTCGATGGGTTTTCACGTTGCTGTCGTCACAGCGAATGGTGATGTGGTTTCCTGCTTCATAGCTGGTTCGGTTGTTCTTTTTTGGCTCGCGCTTGCCAGTCTTCACACGGTTTTTGCTGGCCCTGGAGATCTGCCAGTACAGAAAGCTCATGATGACAACAGGCAGATAGAAGCAAAAAGTGGAGGTGATAAAGGTGATGGATTCATTGGAAAGGAACTCGATGTAGCACTCGCCCTCTTTCACAAGGCGCTCGCCTGTGATAAACTGCCAGAACAGGATGGCAGGGGCCCACATGAGGAAAGAAAGAACCCAGACTGTGGCAATCATCATGCCCGCCACCCTGGTGGTCCGTTTTGCAGGATAGCTGACTGGCCTGGTGACGCAGAAGTAACGGTCAAAGCTGATGACAAGGAGATTCATGGTAGAGGCAACGCTGGCCACATAGTCCAGGATCAGCCATAGGTCACAAACTACTGGCCCCAGCGGCCAATAGCCAATCACAATATAGACTGTGTACAGGTTCATGGAGCTGGCCCCAATAATCAGGTCTGCACATGCCAAGCTGAAGAGGAAGTAGTTGTTTATGGTCTGGAGGCTCCTGTTGATTATAATTGAAAGCATGACCAGTATGTTCCCTGTAATTGTGACAGAACTTAGGGACCCCGTAACCAGTACAATGATCACCATCTCCACTGCCTGGTAAGGGCCCTCAGACTGTAGGTCACCTGTCTCATTGCCTGCAATGAAGTTGGAGATGTTTGAGAAGGTGGAGAGGGTAATCTTAAAGGTTCGGAGCTCCATCTTGTCCATTCTGGTCTTGCTGAATCTTGAGTTGTCAGTTCAGCCCCTAAATCCAGACAAAGGAGAAACATTGTTCGCACTAAGGGCTCGTTTCTCTCACACAGATTCAACTTGGCCCTGGAAAAATACTGGCTTTGTTATCCAAGTCCTCCATTAAAAATATAATGTAGTCTTTGCGTAGGCTGCACCGGTGTTTGTAAAACTGGCCCAGGGGTTGCCAATTAGAAATCAAATTTTATGTGTGAGAGTGCTGAAAACATTCATTATATAAACATCCACTACGGAGGTAATGTTTTTGGTTTGGCTTTTTTTTTAAATTTCTTACGAAGATAATGGGAAGACTGTGGGCCAAATTTTAATGAAACTGGAAGGGTGATGCATGAGCAGAGAAAAAAGTCATAAAATTTTGGAGCGGATCCTAATCATCAAGATGATACACGTTAAAGGCCACAGACAGTGCCTTCAGATTAAATGTCAATACTCTGTGCTGTGACCGTTCTGCTTTGAAACGTAGTTTAAAAGATGATTGTAATGATGAAATTGCCATGTGTGTTGCCGAACTTCGTGATGTAAGGGATGGCCTGCGAGTATGCGACTTTGAAATGAATGATATTGTATGTATGATCACTTCACTGGCATGTATGTAAAGCTTACAACTATTGTACTTGATTAATGCTTCCCCTCCCTTTGCTGTACTTTTTCTGTGCGAATAAAATTATTATTATTGTTATATGGACAGACCCTGTGTGGACAGTGTCAGTAAAGACAGAGCCTATATGGACAATGCCTGTATTTTTCTTGCGAAATTCTTTAGTTTGGGTAACGTCCCGAAAATCAATACCATTGACAAAGTGTCCCCATACAGTAGGCAAAGTACATTTTTGGTCATGCTCAGGCAGTCCCCTCAAGGCTTGACAGAGCCCATATGGTTTTCTGCAGTGACATCACAGATTGACAACACTTGCTATCAACACGACAATACTATGAAATTCTGCAGCCCCGGAAAACATGGATTTTTTTCTCCGATACTGGAGTGGAGGAAGTGACAGTTGTGATGATGATTTTGAAGAAGCCGAAGAGGAAATTGAGGGACCTTTTTTAGGCCATATAAGTTAGAATCTGAGCTGAACGACTGGGAAATGGAATGCCAATCTGGACGAGAGCGTAAAATAGGCCTTTTACAGCAAGCGATCACATGACAATTTTCCGCATAGCAACAAGTCTCTGGTGGGAAAGCGAACCAGACATTCCTTGACAACACTAAGTGCTTGAGTGATCAGGATACCAACAATATTGAGTCTGTTTCTGTAATTTGTATTTTAGTTGACGGCTTGGTGTTCCAGATATTGTTAAAGTAAGTTTAGATTAATTGTTCGAGCTGGATTTTTAGAAGAAAACAACGAGCGGAGACCGATTATCAAGGTCGATTGCTTTGCACTGGACGAGACGTTCTCAGGTATGTTTTCAACAGTTTCATCACTCGTATTTATACCGCCGATCACCCCAGATTTTGTAAAACTTATGAATTTGACTTTGTAGAGTATCCAGGCACTCAAATTTCACTGATAAAAATAATTGGTTCTTTATGATCAGGCCGTTTTGCGTCTAAATAAGCTTATGTGCCAAGCAATGGCGGCTTGTGAACTGGCAACAGGGGAGGCTCCACTGATCTATATGGAATAACTGGATTGCTGACGTGATAGAGAACTGCATTGGGAGGTCGAAGCAAGCGGAAGTGGTCGAGTGGCCATTTTACTATGCCTGGTAGTAAGCAACCGTTATGTAGTATACTATGACAGAGAAGCGTCGATGTGCAGCTTTCCAATGCAGAGCGACATTTTTTGAATTTGAATATTGAGCATTCTCCCCTGAAATGATTTCCCACCATGCAGAATTATTATTATTAAATTATCTGGCTTGTCCAACACATAGCACGTAAGGCTGATAAGCTGTTCCAGAATACGACAGGCATGAACCTGTTTCTGTCATTTCCCTATCGCTTGAATATCACAAGTTGACATTAAAGTTCCTTCACCTGTTTGTAGATTTATTACAGAGGACGCTTTCAGGACCATAGATAAGCTCACTGTATTTTCACGAATACAGTACTGATACCAATGTAAATGCGTGCCCGCGAACAGATATTTTCTTGTAAGTAAGCTAAATTGTCAAAAAGGTTGCCTTTACTCAGTTTTTCTCGAGGATGCACACATCATGCAGTATTATTGTTCAGAAATATAATCTAGCTTCATGAATGTCGTAGATTGCGATAACTGATAACTTTTTTTTTTGTTTTTTCTTGAGGGAATTCATGCATGCTAACACCAACCTCTGAGTCTGTGGTTTTCCCATAACCAAAAAAACAGATTGTTTCCCCTTAGCTACAAGAGTTGGTATATTCCAGCGACTTCTGGAGACAAAAAAAAAAAAACTTGACTTCAACAACAACATATGGGTAAAATTGGATAAACGGACATAGTAAAGCAACGATCCACTTGCTTAAACACCGCTACTATCCGTTACAGCCGAGAAATGTGTTCGATGCGTTACGTCACATAATCAATACAACTCACATGCCGCAGGGCTGTGTGACTCTCCGTGGATACTGAATTTGCCACCAAAAAATATTGCCACAACGGAGTAAACATGGTAGAGG